GACTTGCTCTTTCGTTTAGGTAGGCATCAAGGAAAGGAATTCCAGCAGACATTTCTGTCAAAAATAACAAATACAATACAATTATTTTGATCAAATACGAACAAATTAAGAGCAAAAATACATTGAATCTTCGGGAATAAAAGATAGATTTCATACCGAAATAGTCAATCATTAATAAACCATTTGAGCATCTACCAGTAGCATTCTTGAAGAAGGTTTCACCGTAAGGAAGCCTAGCACATACAGACGAAGGGTTCTCCCTAATCTAATTGCCAGTGTCGGATATTGAATCTCCAAGCTGATATATTGCATTGAACCGGCAATTTTCAAGAATATGTGCATTACATGGAGGAAGAAGAGCAGGGCAGAGAGAGCTAACAACAACAAAAGAGAAAAGAACTGATGTAAGGGTAGCCATCCAAGTGACTGATCTATCAATGAAACTAGAGGCAAAGTCGAATATATGGGGAAGCATTGGCTCTTGCATTTCTATATAGAGGAAAAGCCTTTGATCTCTCCACTTCTGATGAGAGGTTTACTTCCGAATATTAGTGATAATAAAATTTTATTTCACCCAATAAATTATTATGTAGGCCTGCCTTTTCAACAAATTAAAATTTGATTAATTGTTAGGATATTATCATATTAAGGTTAATAAGCTTATAGTCTTAAGTAATATAACAAAAATTAATATTCATAATTTTGATGTTAATAAGATTTATTCATGGAAATATATTATTGATAAGATGAAGCAAGATAACTAAATATTAAATAAGGCTTCTATTAGGTTGCTTAACAAAAAGTTAAGGAACAAAAGAAAGAGGCTATCAGCTTTATTCATACAATGAACATCTAGGAACAAGAAGCTATATTTGGAAATATCGAGAGGCAGATTCTTGCTTAGTGAAAATCTATGAAATAAAAAATATATATGTAATCTGTATTATTTGATTCCAACATAATAATCGACAAATCATACATTAGCATTGCATTAAGCTATTAATCAAGTTTTATATTATGAAATTACACTTATAAATAAAATTAATCATCAAAGTCAAACAATTTCCGATGTATATACATTCAACCAAACAAACAAATCAATCAATATAAAAACCATATAATTGGACAAAATTTGACATAGACAAAGTTTGAATAAGTCTACATATATTGAAATTTGAATCTCAAACCCAATGATTTTTAGACCTCCTTTCGTACTATATATTGAATTAATATATGTCATTGGCTATATTAAACTTTTATAACTTATTCAAAATTTATAAAAAATTATATTTATATATCTTTTCCTGGTCAAAATAAACAAAACTGATCTTTTCATGCGGATATACCAATTGCAACAAACGACAAAGGATAATTTTGTTCAATTTAGAATTCCTGATCTTAGTTAACTTTCTTCTAGCCAATGAGTTTTGTTAAGAAATTTAGTCTTCTATTCTTTGGTTTCCATTAACAAAGTGTTTCAGATTAAAAGTCTCTAGTTTAATTCAATTTTTTGTTTTTATTCATTTGATTTGATCTTTGACTTTGTCCTACTCCATTTGTTTGTTCTTATTCTGGTATCAGAGCCATGTATTACGGCAGAGCAGAGCAGTGTTAAAAAATTACTCCATTTCTTCATTTCTTTGATTTGAAAGAAAAATAAATGATCGATTCAATTCAAATGAGTAATTAAAATGCAGAGCAGTGTAATAAATTTGCACCTAATTATTCAAGCAACTGAAACAGAATATAAAATAACATCTACAATCGACCAATATCATATTCCACCGATTTTATGATCAAATAATAATTTGATAAACTAAAGTAAACTAAGTTGAGGATTGGCATTGAAGTTTTGGATAGATGTCATGGATGAACCATGTTGCCATGAATTTATAAGCCTCTTGTGTCAAGTGAGCTCCATCCCAACTCAGATGCTTATCAGGATTGGAACACACCGGTGATCCAGCAGCGCCACACATTTTCATGATGCTGAAGTTATAATCCCCTCCAATTCCACAACAAGCTTTGCTTGTATCAAAACCTGTTAACACAACAGAAGAAATTCCAAGACATGAACTTAATAATCTATGAATATATTGCACTATTAATTCATAATTTTTTTTTTTTGCGTTAATATTTCGTTTGCATAATTTTAAAAAACTCATCAATTTTCATCCGTAACTTTTAAAATTTGTTTAAAACTCATCTATCCGTTAACATGTTGACATGTTAGAATATGGACAAAATTTGTCATGTCATGCTTGATTAGGGTCACATAATCAAGACATGTTTTGTCCATATTATAACGTTGTTTTGATAAATTGAAAGATTTGAAACAAATTTTAAAGATGCTGAAGAAAAAAATATTGAGTTTTTTAAATGATGGGTGAAAAAATAAAAAACTACAAAAAGGTAAAAATTAACTGTGAATTTTACTCATAAATTTATAAGTAACACAATTTATATGAATATTATGCATATTTGCAAAGATATTGAGCTTACCGAGTATTTTAGCCTTGCTCAACAGCCAGTGGTATGCTTGATAGTTGTTTCCGTAGAGGATGTTCTTTTCTCAACTCTTCAATGGCTTTTTTGAGATGATTATTGTGATAAATTGACAAATTATTCAAGTCCTTTAGGCAGTGAAATTTTTCATAAGCAGTGGTGTCATTGGTCTGGAATTCTTTGAGAAGCATAGGCAAACAACCTGTAGGGAAGTTTCCTGGTATAACCAGTCTTGTACCGCCATAATCAATGACTCTCTGCTTGTTGAATAAAATATGTGAGAGGTGACCATAGCTCTAATCTCAATAACTTGTTGCCAATAATAACTATATTCCAGTTATTTGTAAAGAAATCTTACCTCAGCAGCACCTTTTATGGCTTGGACAACCTTGGGCACCATAGCTCTAATCCCTTCAAGGTTCTTGCCTTCAAACAAGGCATAGTTATAGTCATTCGCTCCAACCTCTCCAACCATGAAAAGAGTTGTTCTATGTTTCTTGAAGCAACCTATTCAGTACAGAACAGAAAGGAATCAATGATAATTACAAGCAAATGGTAAGAAGAGGTGATTACCTTTGTGAGTTTCACATGTTGTGTTGAAATGGGTAAACATCCAGTCAAGTTGAATGGTAAGAGAACTGTTGGTAACTGTGGCTGTAATATTTCGTTTTGCTAGGATTTCCACAGGCAAGGCATGCAGTAGCGCCAGCTACTGCAAAATCAACGCCGCTACTTTGAGTTGAATTTTCATTCAAGTAGGCATCAAGGAAGGGAATTCCAGCTGACCTTGCTGTGTCAAAGTAAAACAAATTCAATACAAAAACAAGAGCAAATTATAGATCAAAAAGTGATAGATTGCATACCTAAATAATCAATCATTGTTGAACCATTTGAACATCTACCAGTAGCATTTTTGAAGAAGGTTTCGCCATGGGGAAGCCTATCGTAGACAGACGAAGGTTCCTCTCTGATCAAATTGCCGGTGTCGGATACTGAATTTCCAAGCTAATATATTGCAACGAACCCACAGGTCTGGAGAATATGGGTAGTACATAGAGGAAGAAGAACAAGAAAGGCAGAACTGAAGATAACAAGAGTGAGTGCTCTAACGGTAGTCATGGCTGATGAACAATTACTGACATCAATTAGAGGAAAATTTTTTAAAGGCTTTGATTTCCATACTCCACTTACTATGGAAGTTTAACAAATTAAAATTTGACATGTTCATAAAAATTATCATATATAACTTCTTATTAGCATATGATTGCATTTAAGCTAATATAATCATTTTAAATTACGTATTGCATCTTAATTTGGTAAATTGTTAACATAATAGAGATGAAATGCAATTAATTTGTCCTACATTAATATATTGTTTAATGTCTATTCCAATAGACATAATTGCATAACTAACAAAAAAATCAACTCTCATAAACTATTATTTTTCAAATATACTCAAACACGGTTTCAGATATATGATTTCTTCATTTTATGATAATAATAATTTAGAAATTTTAAATTCAAATCTTAATTAATAAAAGTCACTATCGTGATTTATGAAATGAAAAAGAAATTTTATCCGCTGGATCATGTAAACCAAATATCAAGAAATCTTCATGTGTAAAATTAAAACAATAATGATGATGTCTTATGCCAAAATAAAAAATAATAACATTATGTCTTGAACATGTAAATATCATCACAGCAAAGATAACGTATTGAAAAAGCTCTTAGGTTGCAAGTTGAAATAAAACAGAATATCAATTCATTCCTACATTGAATAGAACCAAGAAGAGTTAATAGGAAATGTCGTACGGTAGATTCTTGCATAATCAAAACAAATGTGAAATAAAAAATATAATATATACAAATCATACACTAGAAGCAGTGTATCTATTTATTCTTGAACTGGTCAAAAAAAGATGGCATTGACTTCGACAAAGACAATATAATTATTTAAGTAGGATGATATGTTGCCAAAGCTATGAGATTGAGTTCGCAGTATATAACTCTTAAACGTGCGAATGGAATAAACAAGCATGGCTAGAGAGTTTACTTTTATCGCTCAAGATGAGACAGGCTTTCAGCTGCAGACATCTGGGGGTCTACTTCTGCTTTGCGTAATTGCTGTTTCCCTATCAATTATATCAATGCTCATATTTTCTTGTGCTGACGACCCAGAGGCAAGTCCCAAAAGTAAAGGAGGTGGTGGCTGCGGGGCCAGTTGTGGCGGTGGTGGTTGTGGCGGCTGCGGCGGTTGAGGAATATGATGCAAAACACACCTTGAAACCAAAGCAGTGATATTATGTTCTTCTGGAATGGTATAAATCCTTGTACAAATAATTATAGCTCAATAAGGAGCTATAAAATAAGAATGTTCGTAGCTTTCCATGCGCTAATGCCCTTTCCTTGTATGTAATATTTCGTTCGATATATATATATATATAAATAGCTAAACCATGCTAATAGTAGTGAGATTGCAGAGCTGGTGATCTGAAATGTTCGACTTCAATATTTAAAGACTTTCATGAAAGGTTCCACCCCATCTTTTACATAAATACAGCGCTGAATATGGCTTCTCCATCTCTAGCTACGTATATCACAATAGCAATATGAACAAATAAAACAAAGTTCAAAAGATACAGCACAAAAATGGATTGTCAATAAATTTGAAGATCCTACTATGCAACTAGGCTGGCCTCATCACTTTCTGGGACTATAATGTCAAGCCTCATCATGGGCTTATATCTGCTAGGGACTTGAGCTCCAGCTTGCATGCACACTTCAACCACAGCTGGAGCCTTGCCATAAAATCTCTTTAATGCACCTCTCAAGGGAGGTCCCTTTGGGTCTCGAACATGCCAAACGTAATTTGGTGGGAAAACTTCAGCAACTGTAGCATCCTGCCAACCATGCTTCCCATCTCTCCACTGGTGCTTAAATTCTCCACAAAGTTTAGCATTGTGACCCCATGGCCCTACATGGACCTCTGAGCAATATCCACATGCTTTTACAGTGTACTTCCTCATCAACGTCATCACACCTGATCGAACAATCTCATGTGCATTCATTGTCTCCTGTGCAATGCTTGGTACATCTTCGAGTGGAGGAGCTGGAAATCGCCCACAAGCTCCACAAGTGTCAAGATCAACAATTGAGGACGAGGATGGATCCACAGAGCGCCATGGCTTAGGCTCATCAACATATCCACCTCGATCAATTACTTTCTTTCCCATCATCCTGATGGGTTTGGTTCTTCGTCTTGAAGGGTACTCTGGTATGTCAACACCAGCTTGGATGCATAGCTCCACAACAGCTGGAATCCTGTCATATTCGAACCGTGTGTCATGCTTGATGCGCAGGCCAAAAGGATCATAAAGGTGATATGACTCTATGGGAATAAGTATGTCGTTGATGGAACCCTTGACCCATGAATGTAAACCATAACGTTTTGAGCTACTTGGACCTTTGCAGTCCTGAATATGGTGACCAGTATGAGCCACATGAACTTCAGAGCACTCACTGCAGAGAGCTAAAACAAATGAATATATAAAGATGCAGGCATTACCTCTAAACAGCAATATCAGGACTGAAAACTATAATACAATGTACCTGCAACCATAAACAGGAATCACATGCAAAAGCTGTGCAAGGCCTTTGATCAAAACTTTCCACGCATCTAGCACATCATATGCAACAGGAATAAGATCAGGAACAAGTATTCCATTTTTTGGAGGCTGAAGTGGCTTCTCTAGACCCCTCTCTGCAAGTTTCTTATCCTTCCTTGCAGCTCTCTGGATCTTCTTAAAAGGAATGGGATAAGGCTTCTTCTTTTTCTTAGGTAGTACAGGTGGAAGATCCACATTTTGGGAATATACCCCTTGCTTCTTGCCAGCAGGGTACTGTCTGGGCCTCTGACAGGCATAGATGAAAGTTTCTGAAACTGGTGCCTTACCATTCTGAACCCATTTGTTCTGAAACTGCATGTAATATATATCAAAGTGTGAGTCCACAGAACAAATATTACTCCAGAGTACTGCCATTGATGACAAAAACAAACACAGCATAGCAAATATCAAAGCATACCATTGAAACATTCCCAAGAATCATTGCCTATCAACAATTGCTTTTAGTATTATCAATAGAATGCATACATCTCATGTAACAGAACCACAAGAACAGCCAGAAAGAACTTCCTAAAGGTCATAAACAAGGAAGTGGAGAGCCCCTACCGTATGCAGTCGACTAATTTATATGCCACTGACTTGATTTTTGGTGATAATACCTACTGAGAATTTGAAAGTGTTCCTCCAAAATATAGAAATACAAGAATAGTTTTCCACCCACATGTCAGTAATGTCACTTTCAAAATCACACATCGAGAAAACCAAACAAAATAAAATTAGGGAATTGACAGAAAGAAGGTCACCTTGAAATAAAGAGGACACTGACTCAAGGATGATAATTGAGACCTCTTAAATTCCATGACCTCTAAACAGGCACCTGCAAAGTGGAGGCCACATCCATACATAAATCTTTCTATTTACCTTTAAAAACATTTTGTGGGGTTTATTTGCATTTGATTGGTATAATTCAGTCGTAATGAAGTTAAGTTCTTTTCTTTATTTTGGAGGAAAACGGGTGGCACCACATGGGCATTCTTCAAAGAGCAAAAGAAAAAACAATGAATAAGTTAATGATTAGTGACTCACCCCTCTGAGATGGATTCCATATAGATGATGCTATCGGTAGTGTCTGGAGCATTTATCTGGGGATATAGGGAAACCAAAGAAATGGAACATTATGCCAAAACCAAAGAGAAAAATATGAACTCTGTTTTGCAAGGGGAAAATCAACGACAGCAAAGAGAAAGAAACTTAAAATTGAAAACTTTGCATTCTGATTAACACTATGAAAATCCATTTTATAACCCGTACCTTCTTTTTTGAAGATTCTAATGCTGCAAGGGCAAGGTTTTCATCAATCAAATTATATGTTTTAGAAAAGATTAATTATCCTAATAAAATTCGCCACATCATGTACTTAATGCCTGACATAAAATGGTTTCTAAAACTCTCATCACTCGTTTGGTAGGAATTATATAGGGAAAAGGAACGAGAATGGTAGCTTTTGCACCTTTCCACTCCCTCAAATCTCATCCTTTCATAAATGGGAAGCAAGTAGGAAAGAAAGCAATAATTTAACAAAAGTTATAATCAAGTTATTTATGATTTCACCCTCAACTATTTTCTTTCCTTCCATGTTCCATCTTTTGTACCAAACATAAGGACGGAAAAGCAAATTTTTTCCTTTCCTTCTGTCTTTTCTCCCTCACATATTTCCCTTCCCTCCATAGTCTTTCCTTTCTACGATACATTATTCATTTTTGGCACTTACCTATCCCTAAAGGACACCAGTAGCTAATGCAGAGCTTTTAAGTTCATACAAACCAAATCACCATATTCACAGCAAAAAGAAGCCGCATTTCCTCACATTATTTCTCTCATTTTATTCCATTAAATTAGCATTCAATTTTTTTTCTTCAGTTCTTTTCTCAATACAATTTATTCAAAGAAAGGCAATAGTGACTACCTTACAAAACTACCACTCTACCAAAGAAAATATGGAACATTAACTATGAAAGTACCATCATTTCATTTATAAGAAATTCTATTGAAGTAAACCCTATTTGATGGAAAATTAAAATAATCATTGATTCTATAAAAAACCCAGATAGAGAATTAGCCAAAATAAAAAAGAAGCTGATTAAACAAGCAAAAACAAAAACCCCAAACCATAAACAGTTAAGTTGAAAGGAAAGATGAAAAAAAAAAAAGCTTTACCCAGGACTTTGAAGCTGCTCCGTTATTCTTCTTCTTCCTCTTCTTTTTCCTTCCTATCAGTATGCTAATCTACCGAAATATCACCAAAAAACCAGCTCAAAGCTCTGGGTTTAAGGCTCCCGGCGAAAAACCCACCAGTATATTTTTTTGCATTACAAGCAACGATAGGATGAGCGAGCTTCGTGTTGGACCTAGCCAGAAATTGGGCTTTGAAGAGCGAACTCAAGCTCATCCACTATTTTTTGTTTTTTTATGGGGTCAAAATGGCAACAGTTGTTACTTATTCTATTGATCTAATAATACTTAAATTTATTTCAAAATAAATTCAATTTATTAAATATATATAATATTAATCATAAAATGTTTTTTTTAAATTTAAATTGATATTTTAGCTTGAAAAATATTTTTGGAACCTAATTTATACTATTAGACATAGCATTCCTTATAAATAACTTAATTAAATAAAAATTACATACTCTATCAAATGATTATATGATATTTTTCTTCTCTCATATTAATTTAATATAATCTCAATCAAAGTCAAATGAATATAAAATAGTAAATGTTATTTAAATTAATTATAATTAATCATCTTTAATTAGAAGAGTCTATTTATTTTAAAATAAAAATATAAAAACTTGATGATTTGAAATAATTGTCTCATGCATTACTTTTTCAACCACCAATGCATATGCTTTCCATATCCCATATTTGTTTTACAAGCATGGAAACCATAAAACTTGTCAATACTTCCCCTATTACCTGGCATTGTTTTCCTCTGTTTTATTTGGAAACATGGGATATAAAGCAAGAAAATTGGAGCAAAGAGACATATAAAGTGTTGGAAAGCAAGCACTGGTTTCAACATTATAAGCGTTCAAGACATGTCAATGGCAATACATTAATGACTGTGAGTGCTTTAATCATATCTACTGTTGAAATGGTAGGAAATGTGTATGTAATAATCTCTTCCCAAGTGAAAGAGCCGGGAAATGATGGGATAGTCGATTGTAGTTGCAAAAGAAGGCATAGATTTTGGGTTTTATGAAAGCAGAACAGCCTCAAGTAACTTCTTGGTTGATCTTCGAACAATGGAAGAATGGGGTAATTGGTATGATCATTGGTATGCAAAAGAGCAGGATGGCCACCAACTCAGCAAGGGACCACATAATACTGGTGCATACGAGAATTGTTCTCCTCCAACACCAAATCATCCTTTTCAATTGAGGGAGCTCAGATTCAAGCACTAGGGACGCAGCATAAATTTCAGGAATACCAGCACCAGGTTGGTATTCTGCTCGTTGTTCAAGTATCACCCTCAAGCATGCGGTTGGCTCTAGTCGTTCAGTGAATTTGTTCATTTGTATGTTCAGGACTTGAGATTCTGATTGGTGACCAGTGATAAGAGGAATACTCTTGATGATGGTTTCAGCAAGATGGAGAGCTTGGCTCTTAAATCGTAACACACATGGATACCTTGAGCTAGCATTGACTTTGCCATTGGCAGACAGGTACTCAACCCTCACCTGTTAACACAAGAACTGATATAAACACAAACAAGAAATCACGGTGCAAATAGAAACTAGAACTTGAAATGGCATGCTCAGACATATGAAATTCAAACGCAGACCATGAGAGACTAAGGAAAAGGATAATAGTTCAGACCCGGAAGACTCCGAGTTTCCTGTTATATTCAGATTCGGGCACTGTCAAGGAAACAGTGAGCTGCAATCTCCGATTATAGGGTATAACACGGGGACCAATGTCCTTCCCAGAGTTTACATCATCTTTAGGAATGAGGCTGGAAGGATCTCCTACAACAGCAGAAGACATTATTGGCACGAAAGCAACTGGATTGCTTTAGTGTAATCAAAATTCAAGGTTTCTATTGCCTGGATAGGCTTCTCCAGCAGGCACCGCATCATGAAACCCCCGAAAAGAAGTCCTGACACTAGCAACCCGACAAGCATGAAACAAACATAGAATGACCAAATCAAGGGACAACCAAACCTCAGTGCCAAAGTCCCCATCGACTTCTTTGCTTTCACTTTAATAGTTTTGTTAGCATCATTCCACATTCTGAATAGTTTTCTCCTCAAATAACATCTAATGTGCCTTATAGCTTGCAATGGAAATATGAAAGACATGACAGGAAAATATGAAAACCAAATTGGAAATGTGAAAAAAACTAACTAGAAGATTAAATTGAAACCCGACAAATTTCATCATAAGCACTGCAAGAACAGCAAGAAAATTCATGAGGAAAAAAGTGTGGCCCCCTAGAGAAGAATTTACCACATGTGAGACATTGACATACACATGATTCCATGCATCCTTAGGATTGACTCTCTCTTGTATATCTATGTAACTACAGTCCCCTTTAACCTGACAAGTCTCTGAACTATCAATTCTATTCCGTAGGCCATTGCAAAAGGGTTGATTTTCCTTGATTTTGCATCCTTCAACACCATATCAGTCCCATCTACCAAAAATTTGATTAAACAACATTTAAGCACATCACATAGACTCTGTGAATTTGCATTATTTCTGTTATCAAATCCAGAATTTTCATCGGGATAGAGAAACAACCCTTTATCACTACTGGCAACATGATCGTGAACATTCTGTTCATCCATGGCAATGATTGGAGAAATGGGGACTTGGATTAAAAGGTTGACTAGTGGAACTAGGGGGCTGGCAGTAGAAAAGAAGCAAATGATTAGAGGACTTGGGAACTATGGACCAACGGTATTATCAATTTTTTTAAGGGGGGAACGATGACAAGATCACAACTGATATTTCCTTGGGATGCTTAAAGGTCAGATAGGTCCAATTTGTTGGTTAACTAACCAATAGGGAAAACTTTGATCTCCTATGGGATGGTCGTTATTGGTTAATCTGTGATCAATATTACAGGTGAATAAAGTCAGGATAAAATGCAGAATGACAAACACTTCAAAGCTGATCCTGCAATGTTTGTTATACTTGCTTTCACGCTCAACAAGGGCTTGGAGATGGTGAATCATATATATATATATGCTACCTAGCTGTAATGGGTGATTGGCCCGGCTTTGTTCTGGCACACATACCAAGCGTGCAGGGCTCAAGCCTAATTTCTCTGCTGGAGCGGATTTTTCCACTGTCTACGCCTTGTTGAAGGATACAGCTCGAAAGAGTCAGCTAGTTAATTGGTTAAAATATTCCTTTAAAATGTTAAATGATTGTAACTTGTTTACTTTCAACAAGAAGATGTTAAGGGAAGGGTAGCTCTTAATACTCTTATAATATCACACAGTCCAGGCAACATCAGTAATCTTTACACATTCTATAGAAGTTGCTTTGATGGTGGAAAAGGGGAATAATAGCAGTAGGTCTAAGACCATCCATGGTTGAGAGCATTTCCATTCTTACAGAACTCAAAATAAGGCGTCTAATCATACCAAACCTAACCATACCAAATTTTGATATAATATTATGTTGACAATAACAGTGCATGGTGTTCCCATAGGAAACATATCACCATCCACAAAAAATAAGTTATTAGCTTTCCCTGATTTAAAACTACCCTCATTTACAGATAATTCAAACCCCATCAATCTACCTTTCTAGGAAAATATTATTAGATACAGCTGTCTTAGACATCCCCATATATCCTAATGCAACAGCCAATCACTTTAAGAAGTAAAAACCCTAGAAATTTATGGTACTACATGCTTTGTACAGATATCTAGTCGTCCTGATTTCACATAATGCTTGCACTCGACACACATACACATCACGCTCACCACAAATGCAAAATGATTTGTAGAAGTACAAACTTTCATTGTATTTATCAGGAAGCACTGACCACATTGCTGATAAACAAAATTACTTCCCAACTTTGTTTCATACATCATTGTTACAGGAGTATATGGTACATTTAGAACCAAAAAATTAAAAGGACAAAAAAAACATGAAAACCAAAATTTGACCTAATAATTTTCAGAACTACAGTCAGGAAAAAAAAAGTAAAATATAAAATTTTTTCAGCGAAGGGAATAAAAGATGGTGAATCTCCAAACTTGCATCAGAGATTAATATAATTAACAGAGGTAGTATCCAGATATTCACATGTGGTATCGTTTGTTTATGTGCATGAGACTATATACACTTCCACTGCAGGCTTTGGGTGTCGAACAATTAAAATTCGATAACGTTGTTTATCTGAACGGAGAAGGATGGACAGCCAACATTTGAAATAGGGGTGTCAACTCTTACTACTACTCCCGAGTTCCCAACATTTCCATTCCACTTAGAGCGCCCAAACTGCATGATTGTAGACAGAAAACGAGCATGAGCCAAAAACCTTCCAAATTTTGGGCAACCAAGTCAAGGAGGATGTAAGTGCAACCAAATGGGAAAAACAAAGTTAAGGCACAATGGAATAGCACCAACACCAAGAAGAAAAATCAGAAAATTTTAGACTAGAACTTTGAAAGCTGACTAGTGCTGAAATGCTGCAGAAATAGAAATCTAAGTCTGGGGTAAGTAGAATCCACTTTTCACCATTTTACAAATCCAACAACCAAGTTCAACAGAAGAAATCAGCTTTAAAAGAAGATTTGACCGTATAACTTACTGATATTGATGCAAATGCTGAAGGATGTGCCACCAAAGCACAGCCACAAATCAGATTGAGATCCTCCTTCACCGAGTGAATAACTTCACCCCGCAACCCCGGATTGCTTCCACCAAATGTTGGGCACAAGCTGTCAACAATGTAGCAACTAACTAGTGAAAACCATGCAGCATACAAATGACAAGCACAAACAATATAGATAAACAACTATCACATAATAACTGGAAGAAAGATATACATAATGTGATTCAAGGAAAAGAAAGGGAAAAAAAGAAAAACAAACATACAGGAAGAACAAACTCTATACCGAAGCAATACAGTAAAACAAAGTAACAATTTCTCGCTATGGTGTGTGATCCTGCTAATTTCTATTTGCAGGAAAGGAAACCCAAAATCTCACATCACTCAGTTTTTTCCAAACAACTCAGGAAATGACCTCCACTTAATTTTGTTTTCTCCCAGATAAGAAACATGAAATTCAAGTATTTAATAGTAATTATTATGAAGATCAAATACAAAACAAATTACTATATAACTCATGAACCTTGAAAAGTTGTTATGTTGAAAACTTAAGGAGAAGACATTCATGTCTATCCATATCTGACATTTTCTATAGACATAAGAGAACTCAGATCAATTTCCAAAGATATAAGAAAGCTTAATGAAGCACTTCAAAAGGCAGTATATGAAACATAACAATACATCCCTCAACATGAAATATAAGTGCATGCAAGAGACATTCATTTCAAACTCTAAACCTGTGCAAATCAATGCAAATAAGGAGAATCTCACCTAAATTGAATGGATGGCCTCATCATAAGGCCAGATCGCTTCCAAGCCAAGGCTTGTGAAAGACCCAGCGTAAAAGATTTGTCTGGCCATTGCACAATTGGTGTGATGCGTGTTCCCCACTTATTCTGATGATATATCCGAAGAATAGATTTCAGCACTCATAAAAGGCATCGCAAAATAGAATAGTGTCTCTTTAAGCTTAAGTTGTTTCAACAAAAACTAAATAACTACTTCTTTGTTGCCTATCATGCTGGTCGGCAGTTCAGAGATCAGAACCTGACCTTGCAAGAGAAGCTATATCTCATTTCCCCTGGATATTGGCCCTGAGCCTGAAGAAGGCCCCCACAAAGAGGTAGGAAAGCACTTGTTGTTAGCCCCTCACCAGATACATACGTGAATTGTCCATTTGGAAATTGCAAATCTACAAATGACTGCATAAAAGAAGGGAGAGTAAGGATGAGAAAGAAGAGTGGTTATGTAAGAAATACCCTGAGATGATAAAACTTTCTTGAATATTTAGTACCAAAAGCTAGTAACTCGTGAGTATCACAGCTCCTCAGCACAGCCAACTACTTCCTATGAAGGTTGTTTTTAGGAAAATAATAAGACTGAGTACTCAATAAATGAAAATTTTGGTCTTTAGTGTGCAAAAAGAGTAAAATAGATAAATTAAGTTGCTCCACCATTGTTGGTAAATTCCCATCTTCAAAACAAGACCACTGAAAAAAATCCATTGTTCTATTTACACCAAGGTGACTACTACTAACTAACTGAATGAATATTTGCCTAGAGAAATATTCTTTACACCAAATGCAGTTTAAATCAACAATTTGAATTTCAATAAAACTAGAGGGAAAAATACAGATATTTTGGAAATTCAGATTGTTGAAACAGAAGCATAAACACTGTATAAATGGATTCTAATGCTACCAACTTACACAGGCTAAAGGATTAAGACAGAGCATTGACATTAATAGCCACCTTCTATGCTTTGACCATACTGCTGGACAAAGAGAATGCATTCCATTCTGCAATGAAATAATTTATCATAAGATAAGAACAAAGAAGAAAAGACAACAATTTGAGAAAGACCAAAACATAATGCTCAAGCAATATTATTTGCTTTCAAGTTTCAATATATGCACTACCATGTAATATTATTGAGTGTATCTATTGGGCAAGAAATACACTTAAAACCAGGAGAGAAAAAAAAGAAGGAAAATAAAACAATACTAACAGCATTTCATCATAATGGAACTCAAACTAGAACTTTAAAATTTATATTTTAACTTAAGCAAGGTCCTAGATCAGTCCCACATCAAAATAGAGCCCACAATTCCCAATTTTTTTGGATTTTTATCTCAACTTCTCTCAGAATCTTTATGTTCTAGATGGGAACTATTGACTTCTATTACAATCCTAAAAGAGCCTTACTTATAGCATTTTGTAAAATCTAAAGATGGCAGTCTATCAGAGGATTCTAGACTAGGAAAGACACAAGTCATTCTTGCACCTTCACACCACAAACAACCATACATTTATTTGCAAGAACTATCCCACCATCCGTGGAACTTCAGTAGCTATCACTTGGGCTTCAAATTTAGTAACATGAAGAAAAAACAGTAAGCTAACTGAGCAGAATAAACATCCAAACTTGGTGACACAGAAATTAAAGGATAATCTGGAGAGAGTAAATTAAGTCACAATGAAATATGCTCACTATTGCATGAATTTGACTAGAATTTGGACCAAAAATGAACTGCAGCAGAGGCCAGATGACATGCTGAGAAAACCTCATTGCAGAGAAACAAGTTAAGGGCACAAAGGAGATAGTTGAAATAAGTTCATTCCTATATTTTCTTGATTCAATAGAAATTCTAAATATAAGAACAAAAGATGTATCACAGGAAAAAAATTCAAATAAACAATAGATAACAACTTTAAGCACAACTCGCTACAGTTCGTTCCATAAGGCTTTGCAGAATTAAGTTTCATAAAACATAAATACAACTCTTTGGGTACTCGTATTTCCTATATGGAAAATTTTACAGATAGCACCAATCATTCCCTCATATTATTATCATACCTTCCTATCATAACCATACCAAAGCAAATGTTGCTTTGATAGATGAACTGGTAAAAGAAGTGTCGTGTCTCGTACAAAGAGCACTGGTCCAAGCTGGACAAGAAATAAAGAGTTGTCACTCGCAGATGTGGAATTGGCATTTGATGCCTCTACTCTCCATAGATCTCCCCTTGCAACCAAAGAATTTTCTAAATCTCGTGTTCTACTCTCATATGTCGAGGTGATATTTATGATCCCCTGCATACAACCAAAAATTGACCAATGGGAAAACAAATTAATTAAAATATATATGAAAAAGTTATAGTCATTACCAATACGAAGATATAGGTAGTCAACCAATTCAAACCGCATATAAGATTCACATTGAATTCAAAAGGCAAACAAAATGAACAAACAACTAACCTGCCATGATCCTGTCATTTCTATTCATATGAAGGGGAAAAAGAAACATAATATAGTCACAACTTGTAGTAGCTAACATTAGGCCAAATAGATGCCTTTATAGAAAGCCTTTAATATTAGCTTAGAACTTGAAATGGAACAACGGGTAGATGACCACATTCCACATTGCTAGTTGTTCCTACTTGTCTTAGAAATAATTGCTGAAGGTGTGAGCACAACTGAAAGTAAATGCATATTATCCTCATAATCAGCAGGGAAATAATACTAACTACTCACTTATAAACCTTTTGGTTGCAAAGAAAAATGCCCAAGAACACGTTAGCTGATGCATCTATTATGTACCATAGACAATTCCCTTCCCATTTCCAATTATTGAACTTGTCACTTAAGACAATTTACTACTCTGGGATTGAAGTCACTTCTCGTATAATCGTATTGGCCATGATTAATAAAACAATTACAAACATAAAACATTAACTACTCAAGAATTTAACAGAAACCAACTTCATAAATTCAACAGCCTAACTATCCTCAAAGATTCTCTTTTTTTTTTTTTGGTTCGTTTACCTGTGGTCTTCCAAGTAGTCCAGCAGACTTCAAATTAAACCCTGAAATCTCATCGTCCCCCACTCCCTCCGAACCACCCTCATTTTCCACGAACCCAAAATCCTTCAACTGATCAGAAAATCCTACCAAACCCTCCATATCATTACCACAAACCTCAGCCTTCTGCCCTTTCACACTCATATCACCTCTAACCGACACTACCGCACTCTCCTCAGCACGAAACGGGACCGGTAACCTCCTAAAGAATTGATTCACCAACCCATTTAAGCAGGCCCCGAAATCCGCCCCGGCTTGGCCAATCCTGTTCCCGATATCGCCGATGTCAAAAATGGCTGAGTTATCAATGGGAAGGCCAAAATCCTTGTTGACAAACGTTGGGGATGGGAACTCAAGGTCGAAAAGCTTGGATTTTGGAGGGTTTGGCCACGGAAACGAAGGTGGGGTCATATGGGATTGGATTAAGCCGGAGAAACCTTGAGCTAGCCGGTCGGCGAGGTCCTGGCCATGGCGCTGGACCTCTTCCCAGGCCTCAAATGACCTCTCTACTGACATTGAAGCAGCCAATCTAAAAATTCATAAGAAAAATTAAAACCGAGTTCTTTAGAGGGACTAATTAATGGAATAGAAACTTACCCAAAAGCTTAAATCGTTCAATATTTTCTTTTTCACAAACAAAAAAACAAAGGGTGAAACATTTAAGTTTGAAGCTTAAAGAAATGCTGGGTTTTAAAGAGTATTCGTAGTTTTCAAATATCTGAATAGAAATTCAAAGATTCATGAGAAAAATTAAACTTTCAAATCGAACCAGATCATTAAAACATTCAAAAACAGAAAATGAAATTAGGGTTTTCAATTTGAAGGGTTTGATAGAAAGAGAGAAACAAAAAAACCCAACAAAAAATTATAGGCTTTAACGATAATTTCACACTGCAAATAGGATCTAAAGAATATAGCAGTAGCAAAGTGAAGAAGAGAGTACAAAGAAGAGAAGAAAAAACATAAAAGCGGGTTATTTATTGTAGCTAAACGTGGGCAAAGTTCAAGCCTTGGGCAGAGTAAGAGAAACGGAAGGTAGATTTTTTGCTAAGTTTGGCGTTGGGGACTGTTTGGGGTGCGTACTGCGCATATAGATTTGCTTTGCTTCCACGTTGATGGAGTGAAACGTGTGGCTAATAGGGACACAGAGATTTTATTTTTCCAGGGAGAAAAAAAGAACTAAAAAATTCTGTGTTGGGTTATGTCCGGGTCGGAACAACACATTGGACAATGGACAAGGTCGCTGCCCAAAGAACATTCATGTTTTCCCAAACGTTCTTCACACCTGACCAAAGTCCAAATTGGTCACATGCTCCCCTTGAGTTTTTCACTCTCATGTTTTGGTCGTTTTTTTTTTTTTTGAAGTTAAAAAGTTTTAAAAGGATTATTATTATATCTATTAATAGTATTGATAATTCTATACATATCGATGAATTATCTTGATGTTATCTTCTAATTATACTAGATCGAGTCAAGTTGGGTTTAACAAATTATAATTAAGTTGGATTCATAAGCACTTCTAATTTATATTAAGCAAAAATCTTTGATTATAGTAAATTAAAACTCTTTAATTAATTTCTACTTTATTCTCTTTCATAATAAGGATTAGGTAATTAGGTGAGTAGTAGATGTATTTATGGGCCGAGCAATTAGCCAACACCTAAAAGTGTGTTCCATGCACTAAATTAGAGTTTTAATACTAATATACAGCATCTTAATTTATGTCAATTGTAGATGGTTAAAAATAAAAATACTAATATACTACAACTAATTTATGTTAATTGTAGAGTTTTAAACTCAATTAAATAAGATGAAGATATTCTATAATTGAATTTGGATAATAAAATTACAATCTGTCATGAGATCGAGTAGAGTTTCAATTATGGGTAAGTAGTTGATGGATCCGTCATAAATAAAGACCAAATGTACCAAATATTTTTAAAAACCTTATCAAACTTAAAAAGAGATTAAACCAACCAAATATTGAATTGGTTCAGTTCGATTTTGGATCAAAAGAACTAAAATTTTATCATTTTTCTCTTTGATAAAATTTATAAACTCATTCCACTCATATAATTATGTCTTTTCACATACATTATCAATTTAACATTCAAGAGTTTTATATATTTTATATAAATTTAAAATATTTATAAAATATTAATTCTTTTTTTTTTGTCGATTCAATCTAAAAATTTTAGAATTGAGAATCAACTAAATAAACCAATTAAATCAAACATTTTGGATCAATATATTCAATAGACAAATTGAACGAAAACGTTTTATTCAAATTACACTCAGTTCAATCAGGTCATTGGTCCAATCCAATTTTACTTCTCCTTAGCATAGTGACTTAACATATTAGTTACCCAAACTTAATTACAAATAATTATTTTTAATATTAAATTTTAATTATATATATTTTTCATAAATTTTTTATAATAATGCAATACTTATTAAAATTCTTTAATTGTTTTAAACATAATTTTAAATTTTAATTTATTATTTATAAAACTAACTTTAATTTATTTGTTTAATTTTCATTCATAATATACATAAAAATTAATTTAAATTTAATTTAATTATATATTTAATCATATATTTAATAAAAAGTGTCAAAGATATTCGAATAAAAATTTAAATAGTAAAATCAGATATTTATAAAATTTGAATACCATATTAAATAATATAATTCAA